GGCCCTCGCCCATCGATAGGATGAGCTCGGAGCCCATATCTTCGCACCGCCGCCCCCATGGGCGCCGCGTAGCCGTCGCCGAGCGGTTGCGCGAGTTTGCGCCGAGCACGACGTTCGCGTCCGCCGAGCGTTGCAGGTCGTCCGCGCCCGCTAGGAGTCATTCCCGATCGCTTCGTGGAGATATTTGGCCGCGAAATCGATCAAGTCCGGGGGCACGGACCGCGGCCCCCGCGCGCCGGCCGCCGCAGAGCGGCGCCCGAAACCGCCGCCGAAACGGGTTCTGGGGTCATGAACGGCGATGTGGCGGATTTGACGTGATCTGTCGGGCCACGGCTCACCCGTAGTGATAGACGAGCTGCACGAGCCACTTCGCCGACGGGAACTCGCGCAGATCTAGCCGCGGTCCGCGCCTCGAACGTGTCGTCGGGACCCGTCTTCGGCCGCGCGCCGCACCACGACCACGGCCTCGGCCGACGCAGTTGAGCGCGCGCCGCATCTATGCGCAACATGGACGGACCGCCGCGACGGTTTACGGACCCGCGGCGACCTCCGGACGCGTCCAGCGCCGCCCGCTGCTCGGCCGCTCCCGCAGGCGGTTTCCGAGGCCGTGTGCGCCGTCGCGCGCACGCCGTTTCCAGCGCTCAAAAGTGGCACGCGACCGCGCAGGGACTAGTAGACGCGGACGGAAGCGGCGCGGGGGTCACAGGCGGCCTCATACGGCCTGTGGCGCGGCGCGAAGGCCATATTGAGGCTAATCGTCCGAGAGGTTTGGGTGTGCGGCGTGGCAGGAGCAACGCTGCACCTTGACGCAGATTTACAGCAGCATGGAGCTCTGACACGCTCTGGAAGCTGCAAGTCGTGCGCTACATGCTGCGTTGTTATTTGCTCATTATCTGCTTGCTCTCCGCCGCTGGAGCGCTCTGCACGCGGCGCCAGCTCATCTCCACGGGCGTCGCGCTGCTGCCGACGGCCGCGCGCGCCGCGGACGACGACGCGGCCCTCAAGGCGCGCCTAGCCGAGCGCCGCCAGCTGCTCGAGCTCTCGCGGTCGTCGTCGGACCGGCAGCGCTACTTTGACGCGTCGAGGCAGCGGGCCGCGCTCTACAACGCGACGTCCAGAGCATGGTCGTGTCCGCCGAACGCGCCCTGCTATTGATCACCGCCGTCGGCGCGACGACGATCAGCGCGTCCTACGACGCCGCGAAGCTCAACGCCTACTTCGCCGCGAAGCCCGGCGCGCTCGCGGCGCGCGCCGCGGAGCTCGCGGGCATCGCGGCGTCGACGGCCGCGACGCTCGCCGCGGCGGCCGCGGCGGCGCCGCCGTCGTCGGCGAGCGAGTTCTGGGCCCGCGACGGCACGGCGTCCGCCGTGGCGGCCGCCGTCGAGCGGGGCGGCGCGACGTTCGCCAAGTTCGGCCAGGCCGCCGCCGCGCGGCCCGACCTCGTCACGCCGCCGCTCGCGCTCGCGCTGCGCGGGCTCCAGGAGCGCATGGCGCCCTTCGCCGGCGGCCGCGAGGCCGTCGCCGAGGCGCTCCGCGCGACGGGGCCTCCGGACCTCGTCGCCGAGGTGCTGGCGACGCTCGAGGGGCCCGTGGCCGCCGCGTCCGTCGGGCAGGTCTACAAGGCGACGCTGGGCTCGCGGCCCATCGCGCTCAAGGTCCGGCGGCCGCGCGTCCTCGAGACCGTCGCCGCGGACGCGGCCCTCGCGCGCGGCGCCGCGGCGCTCCTCCAGCCGCTCGCGCGGACGGACCTCGTGGGCTCCTGCGACGAGTTCTTCTCGCGGCTCTTCGAGGAGTGCGACTACGCGCGCGAGGTGGAGAACGCGCGGACCTTCCGCGGCCTCTACGGCGTCGGCGTCGGCTCCGCGGCGGCGTCGCTGCCGAAGATCGGCGGCTTGCGGGGCGTCGTCGTCCCGGAGATGGTCGAGGCGCTCTGCGGCGAGGCCGTCGTCGCCATGGACTGGGTCGACGGCGAGCGCCTCGACGGCGTCCTCGACGGCGCGGGCGACCGCGCCGAGGACCTCGAGCTCCTCGACCTCGGCATCCGCTGCACGCTCTCGCAGCTCCTCGAGACGGGCGTGCTCCACGCGGACCCCCACGGGGGGAACCTCCGCAAGGTCCGCGACGGCGGCGCGTGCCGCCTCGCGTACCTGGACTTTGGCCTCCTGGCGACGGTGCCCGAGGCCGTCCGCGACGGCCTCGTCTGCGCCGTCGCGCTCCTCTGCTTTTCGCGCGACGTCGACGCCGTCGCGGCGCTCTTTGGCGAGCTCATGCTCCTGCCCCCGGACGTGCTCGAGGACCCGGAGGAGCTCGCGGCGCTCCGCGCGGCGCTCGCGGCGACCGTCGACGACGTCCTCGTCTTCCCCGGCGGCCGCGCGCCGCCGGCGCTCAAGTTCGACCGGCTCCTCGACGCGCGCGCCGGCGTCTTCTGCGGCCGCGAGAGAGATGTTCGGGCGCGGAACATCGCCCCATCTCCGGCGGCGCGACGTGGTCCCCCATAGGCGCTCGCGCGCCTCGTGCCGCGCTTCGAGTTCCAGCTGCCGCCCTACTTCGCGAACAACGCGCGCGCGATCGGCGGCCTCGAGGGCATGGCCAAGTCCATCGACCCGGACTTCAACATCCTCTCCGTGGTCTACCCCTACGCCCTCGGGCGGCTCCTGCGGAATCCCTCCGCGTCGCCCGTCGTCGCCCGCACGCTCCGGACGCTCGTGTCGACGGACGGCGCGCTCGACCGCGGCAAGGCGCGCGCGCTCCTCCGCGACGCCGCGGAGCTCGCGGGCGTCCGCCGGCGCCGCGTGCTCCTGGACACGGTCCGCGCGAAGGAGGGCCGGCGCTTCGTCCGCGCGCTCCTGCGCGCCTGAGATAAGATGGGGCGTGCTTAGGGCGGGGGCGAAGGGGCGGGGGGGGGGGCGGCGGGGCCGGCGCGCGGCGCGCCTACGCGCTGACGGGCTCCTCCTGGTTGAGCCACTCAAAGAATTCGATGCCGGCCTCGGCCTTGATGCCCTCGCCGGCCTCGCGGCCGATCTTCTCGGCGTCGGCGGGGGCGCCCGTCTTGGTCGCGCGGTACATCTGCTGGCCGTCGAGCGACGACACGAGGCCGTCGAAGAGGAGCTCGCCGTCGACGATGCGGGCCTGGCCGGCGATGGGCGTCTTGCAGTTGCCGTCGAGGGCCGCGAGGAAGGCGCGCTCGCAGGAGACGCAGGTGAAGGTCTCCTCGTGGTTGAGCGCGGCGATGTACTTCAGCGCGCGGGCGTCGTCGTCGCGGCACTGGATGCCGATGGCGCCCTGGGCGACGGCGGGGAGCATCTCGTCCCACTCGAGGACGGCCGTGACCTCGTCGGCCATGTCCATGCGCTTGAGGCCCGCGTAGGCGAGGAGCGTCGCGTCGACGACGCCCTCGTCGAGCTTGCGGAGCCGCGTCTGCACGTTGCCCCGGAAGTTGACGCACTTGAGCGTCGGGTTGATGGCGAGGATCTGCGACTGCCTCCGGAGCGACGCGGAGCCGATGACGGAGCCGTCCTTGAGGTCCTTGAGGCTCTTGGCCGTCGGCGAGATGAAGACGTCGCGCGTGTCCTCGCGCTCGAGCATGCACGGCAGCACCGTCTTCGCGGGGAGCCACGTGGGCACGTCCTTCATCGAGTGCACGCAGATGTCGACCTCGTCGCCGAGGAGCGCCACGTCGAGCTCCTTGGTGAAGAGGCCCTTGCCGCCGATCTCGCTGAGCGCCTTGTCGAGGATCATGTCGCCCTGCGTCTTCATGATGCAGAGCTGGATCGCGCCCTCGCCGCCGAGCTCCTCGGGGAAGTTCTTCATCAGCAGCTCCCGCGTCATGTAGGCCTACGCGAGGGGTCGTGTCGTTGGGTGTGTGCTCGGTTGTCTCGTCGCGCGCGGCCCGGACGCGATCGGCCCGTCGCTCGGCCCGACGCGCGCGGCCCGACCCCGCGACGCCTCGACGCGAACGAACCGGACGTCGCCAGGGCAACGCCGGTCGCCGAGGCCGGCGCCGGCGCCGCAGGGGCGACGGCGCGCGCGGCACTGACGTTTTGCAGCGATTCGGCGGTCCTCGCGCGATCGGCGATCATGGACGCCGCGAACCGCACCTGAGCGAGCGCAAGCGGAGAGCCGCGCGTACCGATGCGCAGGGGTGTTGCCTCGAGCGCCGAAGCGCCAGCGGCGAGCACTACCAGGGCCGCGATCATCGTGTTTGGTCGGGCGAATGAGGTGTAGCTGGCCAGGCGCAACCTCAAGTCGGGCCGTCGAAGCAATCGGATATGCCGTTCCGCACCCGCCTGCGGACCCCGGGAGAGGGATCCTTCGCCGTCTCCGAGTTGGCCGGGGGTCCGCAGGCGGGTGGCCGTTCCGTTCCCCAAACAAGCGGTGCCGCAGCGACCGCAATCGCGACGTTGTCATGATAAGGTATGATCGACGGCTTGAAGCAGCCGCGAGACAGGAGCCTGCTTCAATGCCAGACCGCCGACTACAACCCGTCAGACAGTGCGCCCCGCGGGGCCGCCGCGCGGCTCGGCGATCGAGCGGCGGGGCGTCTCCGCCGGAGCCGTCGTCGGCCTCGTGTCGTAGAAGAGCTGGGGCATGGCGACGGCGACGGCGTCGGTGGTGTCGAAGAAGAAGTGGAGGAAGAAGACGGACCGCACGCGTCGTCGAAGGGCTGGCTCCGCAGTACCGCGCGGTCGGGGCAGTCCAGCACGACGAGCGGATGATGTAGTCGGGCTGGAACGACGGGTTGACGCCGACGGGTATGATGTCGACGTGCGTGTCCATGAGCGTGAGCGTGTTGAGCGCGTCCTGGACGTGGATAGACAGGAGCCGTAGGGCGCCACCTCGACGTCGAAGTCGACGTCGAACCTGCCCGAGAGGCCCTCGGTCCGCGCGCCGCGGCGCTCGCAGGGCACCACGAAGGCGACGTCGAAGCTGTCCGAGAGGCCTCGATGCCGTCGGTCGTCTCCCAGAGCGTCGGCGTGTCGGCGCAGCCGTCGACGTCGATCTCTTGGGCCTGGCCCGCAGGACACACGGCTTCTGGGCCGCGCGCCGCGGCGGGCGTGGGTTTCCGACGCGCAGGCCTCTTGGAGAGTACCAGATGCGGCGCTGGTCCGATTTCAGTGCCCAGTGCTAGCCCGCATTTGCAACGCGATGGCTTTCCTTTTTTCGAGGACTAGACATTCGACCAAGCACGATGCAGTTTAGCTCGCGCTCATGCTGCGCCTCGGGAGCGACCGGTCGATGCTGTTGTCGGTCGAGATGGGCAGCCAACTCCTCTGCGCGCTAAGTCCGCGCGCCCCGGTCCCCAACATGTGCTCAACATCAACAATCCTTAAGTTGAGCACACGTTGGGGTCGTCGCGGCGCCATTTTGCCAAGTCTGTGTCACACCTGGTGTCGGCACCTCTGGAGGTCGTCGACGACGTCGCGACGTCGCTCGATATCGACGACACGTGCCGCACGCTCACGTTCGAGGTGCCCGAGTCCGGGGCGTCCGATGCGCGCATCACGGTCTATAGCTCGGGCTGCCCCTCCCATGTACACAGCTGAGCCTGTGGCAGGTCGACGACGGCAGCGGCGAGCCCTACGTCTACTGCGAGATGCCCGCCGTGCCCATCGGCTCCAAGGCCGTGAACATCTCCGCCGCGGGGCAGAGCGTCTACTCGAAAGAGGACGACGCGATCTCGTTCGCGTGCACGGACGACTACTGCCAGGAGGCCGGCGAGGCCTTCCTCACGTCCGACTGCTACGACGCCTGCGACGACCCGGGGATCGGCGGCCTCGACAACTGCACCGTCGTCACGACGGTCGACGAGTACTGCGCCGAGTGCCCGCCCGAGTCCGCGTGCGACAAGCACGGCACGAGCCTCCACACCGTCAAGCCCTACGCCCCGACGGGCTACTGCCGCCTGGACCTCGGCGGCGCGGACTCCGACGTCGCCTGCGTGGAGCACCGCGAGCACCGGCCCCACTACTGCTACGACTTCTCGTGGTGCATCCGTGGCGGCGCTGCGGCGCCTGCCCTCAGATTCATGTTCGCCCTAGTTCATCATGCCGTTTGTAAACTCGGCTCCTGCGGGAGATGCTTTGGCCCGAAAGCGGGACCCAGGAGGCCCCTCTTTGCCGCACATTTTCTGGTTTAATGGAACATGGCCCGACGCGACCACACGAGCCAGCTCCTCGGCGACTCGTAGTCGACCCGTCCCCTTCGTCGAGCTCGTCGACGTCGATGAGGGCGCAGTCGGGCTCGTGGTTGAGGAGGATGGGGCTCTTGAAGGACGCGGCGTAGGGGCACTTGGCCATGCTGCGCGTCGTCTGGAGCCGCTTGTGCTTGTAGGCGCGGTAGAGTTTGTCGCAGACGTCGTCGGTGCCGTCGCCCGTCTCGTCGTCGCGCCCCTGGAGGAAGAAGACGGACCGCACGCGTCGTCGAGGGGCTGGCTCCGCAGACGAGCTAGGAGTGCTTGAGCACGCCCGCGGGCGCGGCGCCGCCGGCCCAGCGCGCGGGGATCGACGACGAACCGGCAGCACGCGTGCTGGCCGCGGCGCGCCTGAGCGTTGCGGGAGCCGCCGCGGCGAAGTTGTCCGTGGACGCCGCCAGACGTCCTCGGGCCGTCTCTCCGCCGGCGCTTTTTTCGCCCGCCGGGCAGCGACGATTGGGCAGCCCCAACAGCAGAGCCGCCGAGCGGTCGGCGTTGGCGCGCAGTCCGCCGGTCGAGCGAGATCTCGCGCGCGCGCGAAGCGATTGGCTGGACGGACGCGGAGCTCCGCACGCGCATGGCGCACGGAAGCCCGACTCTCCAAGCTGTGATGGTCGAATGTGTCAATGCCTCGAGGGATCTCGGAGGCGAGATCCCTCGTTTTATTTACACATTGTTTGCCCTTTCACCTCATGATCATGATATGGGGCTCTCGGCCAATCATCGACGCGCATCGCGCAGCTCGTCTCGGCCAGCGGCGTTGTCATGGCGCGCGTCGTCGCCCCGCGGCGGCGGGGTGCTCATCGTGGGTCAGCTGCGTCGGCGGCGACATCGCCCAGCACCGCCATCATGGTGGTGGGCTGCTGCGGGTCCCTCGATGAGAGCTCCCCGCGAGCCCTGGCGAGGAGCTTGTGCCGCAAGACCTTGCGCGCCTTCAAAGGCGTCGTGTTTGTACGCGCGCGCGCCGCGTCCGAAACTTCACTTCACACCCGCGTCCTGCGCGCGACCAAGAACCGCGCGCGCGCCCGTCGCACGCCGTCGCGAAACTCCGTAGCATGACCGCTTTTGGACACAGGCATCATCAACAACATGCAGCAGATGGAGGTCGAGGGCGAGGAGATGCCGCCGCTCGCGGACATCGCGACGGAGCGCGAGCTCGCGGCCTTGCGCACGGCGCTCGCCGCCGAGCAGCGGCTCAACGGTGAGCTCGCCGCGGCGTGCTCCGAGCACAACACCGCGCTCGCCGCGGCGCTCGCCGAGCGCGACGCCGCGCTCGTCGCGGCGTCGCGCGCCGCCGACGACCTCGCGCGCGCCGCCTACGCCGAGGCCGACGCGGTGTCGCGCGCCGCCGACAACCTCGCGCGCGCCGATGGCGCCGACATCCACGCCGTCGGCGCCGCGGTCGAGGTCGCGAACCTCAAGGGCGAGGTCGCGGACCTCAAGGGCAAGGTCGCCGCGTTCAAGGGCGAGGTCGCCGCGCTCAAGGCCGCGCACGACAAGGAGCTCGCGGCCGAGCGGGCGGCGCGCGTCGCCGCGCAGGAACTCGCCGCGGTCGTCGTCGCCCAGCGCGACGACCTGCGCGCGGAGCGCGCCGCCGAGCGCGCCGCCGAGCGCGCCGCCGAGCACACGCCGGCGGAGGGGCCCAAGGCGTCGCGCACGCCGGCGGCGACGGCGGCGGCGTCCAAGGTCGTCACGCCGCCGGGCGGCGGGCCGCCGCCGGCCACGCCGCTCGCCGCCGCGCCGAACCAGGAGCGCGACGACCCGCGCGTCACGCCCCAGGTCGACGCGCCGATGGACCAGGGCGGCGCGCCGAAGCCCGAGGGCGGCACGCCGACGCCGCAGAGCGGCACGCCGACGCCGCAGAGCGGCGCGTCGACGGACCAGGGCGCGCCGACGCCGCAGAGCGGCGCGACGACGCCCCAGGGCGGCACGCCGACGGACCAGGGCGGCACGCCGACGGACCAGGGCGGCGCGCCGACGCTCGAGGCCGACGCGTCGATCTTCGACGGGCTCGAGCCCCTGCGCTCCCCCGGCGCCATCCAGGCGTTGAGCGCCCACGATTTGGACCCCGCGTTTGGGCTGGAGGACGTGCCCTTCTCCGGCGGGCCGGGGACGTTCCCGGACGTCGCCGCCTGCGTGCAACTCAAATCTTCAACCCGACTTCAATGTGAGCGTATTCGAAGGCTTTGACACGAGCGCTTCCGCGGCGCTTCGAGAACTCGACGAGAGCGATCGATTCGTCCAAAAATCAGCCGAATCGACTTCGATTTAGCCGAGCTAGAGAATTTCAAAGTTGGTCGGGACGTCCCAAAACAGTGGTTGATTTCCACACAGGTCGACGCGCGGCTCGAGATCACGGTCGACGCCCGGCTCGAGATCACGGTCGACGCCGACGCGGGCCACAACGCGAGCGCCGCGTTGAGCCGCGCGGCGGCGTTCTGCGGGGCGGTCATCGGCGGGTTGGGGAACCTGCTCGGCCGCGCGACGTCGCTCTCCGGCGACGACGGCGCGCCGACGCCCGAGGGCGACTACGCGAGCTACGAGTCCTCCGGCGAGGACATGGACGAGTCGAACGCGGCCATCGGCGGCGACGGCATGGACGAGGACGCCCTGGACCCCCCGTCCAAGAAGCGCAACGGCCCGACGCCGACGCCGGTGAAGTCCGGCGCGGGCGCGCTTTCCCTTCACGACATCTCGAACAAGAAGAAGCCCAAGAAGAAGAAGAAGACGAAGAAGAAGACGAAGGCGACGGACCAGGACCCGGAGGGATTCGCGGCGCCCGCCGAATTCGAGCGCATCAACGGCGCCCTGGCGCCCTTGGGCGAGGAGGCGGACTTAGGGCCCGTCGGCTCCGCGGAGCGGGAATCTTTCCTCACAAAACTCGTCCAGCGCCTCGTCTACTTCCTCGTCCCCGACGACCCCGCAACGTGCGAGGCGCCCGCCGTGCCGGAGCCCGCCGCGCCGGCCATCAAGGCCGTCGACGGGACGATCTACAAGCCGGGCGAC